CAACCGTACGAATCTACTTTTCTTACTTTTATTTTCTTCGTACTTGTTTCTACAGTAATTAAAAATGACGCTTAGCACTGTAGCACAGATATTTTTTTTTAATTTTGTATATTTCACTGCGATAGACGCTTTTAATTTTAATTTATCATTTAGCAAGAGAATTTCATTCGTGGTTCTCTTCAAACGGATTTTTATTTTTACCGATTTACAACTTTCCAAATATTTAATTGGACGAACGATTGTACAACGAAAGGAAAAATTTTAATTGCAATACAGATTCTATTCTAACTTTTTGAGAATACAAATGAATTGAAACTTATTGAACGATATTTAGATCAATATTTAGAAATTAGATTAATTAAAGAGATCGAAAGATGGTAAAAATATATTTAATGTACAAAAATAATAAACATTGCATAGCATGGCATGATAAATTCTAGATTCCAACATAATACAATATCTTCTCAATAAATTGTTATTAAATATTTTTTTAATTCGTAAATTGAATTGTTAAATAACACGTTTCATTATTATATCATATTGTTATTAAAAATACTTTCAGTATAAGATGGAAATAGGCAAAACAGTGTGAATAGTATTTCATGGTACGCCACGTTACTCGAAATGGCCAAATCGGTCGTCCCGAAATTCTCGTGGAAATCGTTCGTTCGACTCATTTGAGCGCTCTCTTTCCGCGTGGAAAAACGTGGAGAAGAACGCGTGTGCACATCCTGGTTATGAATAGGCGATGGAGAGGGTCGAAGAGGAATCCTGAACGCGTTCGAATTATGCGGATTAAATATTTTCCCGTTTCGTGGGTTGAAAGGCGAGATTGAAAAGCGAAAATGATGGAGAACTTTTCAGTCGATGACCCACCACGCTTGTATCCCATCCGAACTGACACCTTTTAGAAGATTATCTCTTGGACAGGTAACTCATTGTTCAAGATATAGAAATAGAATCGAATTGATATTGGATGAATCAAGATCAACCGCAATATTGAAAGAATATATTTCTAAAATTAATTCTATAAAAGTTCATCTCTTCTTAAGGACAGTTTAATTAACTCTACTTAGATCGATTGCAATATCGAAGGATTTATCGTGGAATATTATAAGAAAAAGAAGAATTATTTATATGATCCACAATTTATCAATCCGCCGATTGATCATAGAAATTTTATGAATAGCATCTTTTGTATCTCATCATTTCCTCCTCCCATGATCCATTAATTAAAGAGAAAGATTGACTCCTCGAGCGAACTCCTCGATCTGCTCGAGCGGAACAAAAGCGCCACCCACGACAAAATAAACACCGGCTAAAATCTAATATCTCGTAATACCGCTTTCATTCATCTCGCTCTTCTCTTTTTACCACTCTTACAATCTATTGTCCGTGAAAGAGACCTGACCAACTTTTATCCGCGGCTTCCTCTTCGACAAGCCACCGGAAGTGCCTCGAGAATCCCAACGACGAGTGCAACAACGGCCACTCTTACAACGCGCTTACACACACATGTATGCGAGTATAAATACGTGTAAAAGTGCAAATGTCAATAGGAATTGTAAAGGTGTGCGCGTTATTCAAACGATCTTCGCGAAGATTAAATGCGACGATCCCGTTTCTCTCTTCCACCCTCGGCTGGCGAAACGAAAGTGACGCTTTTCCCCCTATTTTCATTCGTATCTGGAAGAGCTGACGAACTGCAATTTGCATTGTTACGGATGAAAGTGTGCCCGCGCGCTCACGCAAGCGGAAGTTGGCCGACGTTGCGGAGGAAATGAAACTCTCGCCGATTAAGAGAGTGTTTTTCACGGTCTTTCATTTTTCTCTTGATTCTTGTTACATTTCTTCTTCTTCTTCTTCTTTTTTTTTTACTGGGTCAGGCGTCGATGGACGAGTAAATATAAGATTGTTAATATTTTGAATATCTATTTAACGCAGCTTCTTCATCGTAGTTTATTAAATTTTTGACTTTTGTTTATTGTAATATTTTTTTATCTTTTTATCTCGTTTTATATATTTTTTTTATTTTTTTGTTAATTGTGTAAGGTATTATTATATTTTTTCTCCTTTCTTCTCGAATTTTCATTTCTTGATTTAATATTTATTCACCACGCGTCGAAAGTGTTATTTTAGTTTAAAATTTTCCACTTTTTCGTAGCGTGTAATATTTTTTTTATTTTTATCATCTTAAAGTAAACACGTAGAATTTTTTAAAACGGGAAATTCCAGAGATTTAAATAAATGTCTTGAGTCATTTAAGTGAAAAAAAAAAAAAATTTTTTTTTTCGTAAAAAACATTTTGGAATTTTTGGAAAGATCGTTAAAAATTTTTCGATATAAAAAATTGAACGGAAATACATCAATTTCAAATAAAATATATTTATAAGAAAATCGCTGTGATCGAAATATCTGTCGAACGTATCGACCTTGAGCAAAACAAAAGTGTTCTAATCCTATCGTCTATTGATTTTCGAACTTTGAAAGTCAGTCTTACATAGATCGTCGTAGCGTGCGGTTGCGTTTCAATCAAACCAGTTATTGCGTGTGTGAAAATACTGTGAATCATACGTGGGGGAGGGGGGGGGGCGTATGACTCAGCGTGAAACAAGTTAACAAGAATAGAAGAGTTCTGATTTCTTGAAATTAAACAATCGATGTGTGCGTGCGCGTCTGTGCGTATGTGTGCGCGCATGCTTTTTCGTATGACGAATTGTGAGTAATCGAGATGGAATCAGATTTGATGCAGTTTAATAGTTCGAATTTTTAAATTTCTTATTTCTCTTTATTTATTTATTTATTGTTATTTTATCGATTTGGAAATGGAAAATTGGATAAATTAAAAGATTTTTTCGAGCTGTTAATTAGTAAATTGTTTCGTTCTCTCTCTCTCTCTCTCTCTTCTTTTTTTTTTTTATTTCAAAATATATGGTGGGAGGTCAGTATTGGTCAATTTATTTTTTTCACGAAGATATATAGGATAAATAAAATTCGATACGAGCTTAAAGGATTAAAAACTCTGTATCATCCTGTGATCAAATTTAATTTATAACAAAGTTGTTATTAAAGTATTCAAAATACTGTTATCTTTCCTCCTTTGTTCTTTTCATATGCTCTATATAAAGTTAATCCTTATAATTAGAGTGACCCGAATAAACATAGATGTATATAGAGTGTCCCACGTAACCGAACCATGAAAAAAAAAAGAGATTTCACGAGGGAAAAAATTTCTAAAATCTCGACGACGAGGAAAATTTATTGAAAAACTGAGATAGTTTTTTTTTTCTCTTCTTTTTTTCATATTCCATCTATTATCTTCAAGAAAGATAGATGATGAATCAGGATTGAAAGAAATCAATGCGAATAAAAATACTTGTTTATAATTATCTATATTCCAAAATTCTATTTTCCCCTGTTTCAATCACGAAAGTTGGAGGAGACACTCTATATATCGATGCGAATAATGACTAAAACTGTTTTAGAAACTCGTTAACGATAATTCATCTTCCAACGAAACTTATCAACGAGCAAAACTTCGTATCGCAAACTCTGTCGTAAATACAACTTCAAATACGATGATCCAATGGTTCATTTGATAACAAGACTATGGATTTGCGAATGTATATTTTCCGTATCGAATATGTTTTTTTATATTTAACACAAATATATTACATATACGAGATATTAAGTATCAAGAAATTATTAAATTTATCACAATTATTAATTCGTAAAAGACGTAAATACATCGCAAGAGAAATTTAAATATATTTCGAATCATCTCGAGACTATAAATCCATTTTTTTTTTCGACAGAAAATTTTAAAAATATTTCTTGTAAAATATTCAAATTTCAAAAATGTATTTAATAATAATTCATTCCAAACAATTCTTTTTCATATTTATAGTTCCAACTATAAATCGTGATTTCACAAATATACACACTCTGCTATAGTTCTTCATTGGTATTCCTCCTTTTTTATACACGATCGATATTCGAATCGTTATTAAGACACACATATATTTTGATAACAGCATCTCCACCACGATCGAACAAAAATAAATTTCATTTCGTTTCCCCTCCTAAGAAAGCTGCTTTCCTAGTCCATCCTCCAGTAATTGTTCCAGAAGTTGCCACTACGTGTGTCCCTCTATTCTTAGCTTTGAAACGGTAATTGTCAGTGGCGCGTGTGAATAAGCCCTTAACATCGTTAAGGTTCTCTCGTAGTTTCGTTGAGAAATACCCGCATTATGAATCGTGGTGGCTGTCGTCTTCCGGTTCCGTTAAGCTCGCTCCTCGCCGTGTTCTCGGAGACCTTTCACCCGTTATTCTCTCGAATATCTCGTTAAAATTTTCACCCGCTTTAATTATCGATGACGCGGATTTTAACACGACTGAACATTCAAAACACACGAAACTGGCAGCGATTTGATTAAAAATTATCTCTTATAATCGATGGAAATTTAAAATGGTTGTTTGTCGAAGATTCGAGTGGAATATAATAATTTTCGACGTGTAGAATTTTTTAGAAGGATTTTTTATAAAATGAAAAACGATTATTTGCGAATTAATTTCTTGCAATTATTAATTAATAATACGGTTTCAATTGTTGCAGCGTAATACGGGGTTAATCATTTTATCGACGTAAAACATTGCTTTCCGCTCGTCGGATTAGCTTAGTCACGTTCTGAAAAATTGGAAAGTGCAGAACAAACACATGGACGCATAATAGATCGATGCAATAGTGGAATAAAATACTTCATTAGTCGGGAGAAAGCGCGAATATCAAATGTAAACAAAATTTTTCACATGTTTCTTATATACAAAAGTTTATATATCTATAAATTATTTCAAAATAATCCAATGATTTTCCATTCTACAATTAATTACAAATTCTACAATCCCCCTTTTTTTCCTTTTTCTTCGCGAGTTAATCTCCAATAACAACATCGGAGACAAAATATTTATATTATTATTAAATCCATTATCTCGACCATAACAACCATATTATCCAACCACTGATGAAATCATCAAGTTGAACTTTGACGTCCACACCTTCCATTACCTTCCAGATAGGTTAAAGGCTTCGAAAGTTCAGAAATCGACGTTTAACCTTTCCCTCCCCCTCTCTCGAATTCTCAAAACCAACCCTCGATACGAACGTGAACGAGGTTCCAAACGCCTCTCGTTTCACACGCGCGAAAAATTTGCCTAAAATTCGCTTCTTTCATAGCGACGCGTAGACCGGCGATTGGCATAAGGAGAGCAATTTCAGAGATCCCATTTAACCTCTTGACGTTCTCTAAGAAGCACCCAGTTTCGTTCGAGGAGCAAGTTCCTCTCGCGGAGAAACTTTGGCGGAGAAGTTTGGTGGAAATTGGGGAGGTGAAACGTGGATGCGTTTGGCAGAGGCGTTCGAGATATGGATTCGGAGGTTGGACGTGGAATTTGTTGCCATGAGATTGGGTTTACGGTTAGAACAAGAAATGGGGGGATTGTAAAGGAGGGGAAGAGAATTTCTTCTGCGTTTTAATGGTTTCCCTGGAATAGAAGAAGGTATTTTTAAATGGAAAATGGTGATATTTACGACTGGATTTATAATTGAAGGTTTATCTCGCAATACGGTTGACAGATATGTGATTTATCCAGTCTCGTTATTATACTTCCTCGCGAAGATTTGTGTTATTATGCTATGCAAAATATATAGATTCGATTGTAACTTCAAAGAGAGGACGAGAGAATGTTTGATAGGAAAAAGTAATTTGAGGTATAAATGAATTATAATATATCGTATAATTTTAATATTGTTTTATTTATTTAAGTATTCGAACAAAATATTATTTTGTAATTGTAAAGGAGGAGAAGAGAATTTCTTCTATGTTTTAATAATTGATTCGTGAAAATTTTACTAATCGATTTGATTTTTAATAATCATTCTTTTGTACATTCGTTGAAGATGTTAAGTTAGTCGAATCTCAAATCCGTCTATTCACCCCTTTCATCTTTCAAGCTTCTCGAAACACGCTCCACACCCGATTAAACGATGCTCGAATCCCCGATATAATCTCAACAGCTGCTCCAACAACATCTTTGGAGCGATCTTTTAAACCGTCTTATCCCTACGATCGAAATCTCGCTGCCCTCGTCTCTCTTCCTCTTCGAACGGAAGAGTCTTCAACGTTCGTTCAATCGTCGTCGCGACGAACACACTCGACAAACACGTCATCCGATCCGCGATAATTCCTCTTATCGTATCTTAAAATTCAATGGCTCGAGATATAGGCTCTGCCCGCTCTTTATTCCGACCGTTTCACGGTGTATCGCCCCGTTCACGAAAGTGGAACGATCCGAATTCTGTGCACGGGGTGACAACCGGCCAACAACCCCCCGTGGCAAGGGAAATTTATTCGAGGAGGTTTGAAATGTGGGTCACAGTTTTTCTCAAATTTCGACATGCTAGGTGTGTTTGGAGGGCGGAGGATAACTCGTATCCTTAACCTTTCCCTTATTGTCGCGACTCTGAAGAATTCGGGCCAAACGTGAACAGCACGAGTAGAATGAATTTTTTCAATCGAGATTTAATTTTTACGCCACGAGAAAGTCACGATTCTTATAATCTACGTTGCAAAGTGGCGAATTTCGTCGAGCTAATTTAAAAACTCACGATGATTGAGAGGAAGGAGAAATGGAATTATTTTTGAATTATCGCTTGAAGAAAATTCTGTAACGTGAAGTGTATAACAATGAGAGATATAGAGACTTTTTTTGCTTTTTAATTAGCGGTTGTTTTCGACAGAATAACGATTATTTCTTCGAAACTAATTATTCCAAGTAGCAATTTCTCTTGCAAGATTCATAATTCAGTTTCGTTGATTTTTAGAAGGCCGAAGAATTTTTTTCGAAAAAGAGAGTAAAAGTAACTTTATGAAACGAAATAAGTACGTTAGATGATCTCCAGATGTCACGGTAGTTGAACACATTTCACGTGTGGCCCAATCGTAAATCGCATTTCCCGGGTGAATCAGAGGGTGTGAATTTCCATCAAGGGCCAAGGACGCAGCAGTCACCATCGTTCTCCCTCTCGTCCGTCTGGATAACACATCACGAAATTACAATACAAATCACTGTTGACGTGTCACACTCCTCCCCTGGGATCGATACCGGAAATATTCGATATCGATTTCGACGAGGTACAATAGGCGGAGATACGAGGATCCGTTCCACATTCGATGTTAAAATTATACCGCGAATATATTGGACAAATCCTAAGGGTCAAGGGATGTACAGTGAAAATTTGCATTCGAAAGATTTACATTGGAAAAAAATCTATAACTAACGATATTCACGCGTTAATATAATTTTGATTTGTAAAATAAACAAAAGTATTTTGCAATCATATTGTGAAGTATTTTTAGAAAATTCTTGGAGCGAATTTTAGGAAGGATGAAAATTTCGACTTCCTTGAATCTTCTTAAAATTCGAAAAAAATAAAGTAGGAATGACGTCCAATAGGTCATCCAAGTTTTAGTCAAAATATCGGGAATTTTATTAAGCCGCAGTAGTATTGATCACGCATCACGAAGAGAATAAAAAAGCATGGAGCAGAGCCGCGTGTGTCAAACTGCGTTTCGTTCTATTTTCACCGAAACGAGATCGATACACGAATGTCCATGCACCGTGGCTGCAGTACGCTCGGATGACCGCATAACCGCATAGTAATGCACACTATTACACGGGATATACGCAAAAATAGTGGTGCACAGTCGCGTTCTATCGATCACACGCCGTTATTGTACTTTCGCTGAAGAAAGATCGAACCTTCGTGCAAGATTTTCCTCGAACGAAAAATAGGATTTATCCCCTCCGCTTTGTCCCTCGTCGTAACTTATCCATCGTCATTTTCTCTTTTTTATTTTTGCCGATTTATTCGCCATTAGTTTATTTATTTAGCCGATTCTCGAACAGAAGAAGGTATTTTTAAATGGAAAATGGTGATATTTACGACTGGATTTATAATGGAAGGTTTATCTCGCAATACGGTTGACAGATATGTGATTTATCCAGTCTCGTTATTATACTTCCTCGCGAAGATTTGTGTTATTATGCTATGCAAAATATATAGATTCGATTGTAATTTCAAAGAGAGGACGAGAGAATGTTTGATAGGAAAAAGTAATTGGTATTTGAGGTATAAATGAATTATAATATATCGTATAATTTTAATATTGTTTTATTTAACAAAATATTCGAGCAGAATATTATTTTGCGGTAAGTAAATTTGCAATCTTTGTTTCTCGTTTAAATTTACAGTAATAGATCGATACAAAAGTCATTAGGAATGAAAGATGCGGTAAATGATAGATTTCACACGTTTTTTTCGTAATTCTAGAATTTCACAAGGAATATTGATCTCTGCTCTCATGACAATTATCATTATTGTTGGCGCCGTCTTTACTTCGACTTAATTAAACGGAGGTTAATCGAGCCGCGTTTAATTACGTTTAAAATACGATAAAATAATATTTATTTTATTTTAGAGTTGTTGTTTGCAAGAAAAATTTTTTTAATCGTAAAAGACGCGATATTATTTTTTCTTGGGAAATTTTTATTTTTATCTTATTCAATTGTTTATATTTTAAAATAATTTATTATTATAAAAAAATATTGCGTTTAAAATTTTCCATTCTTCAAATTTCCCGCTCCGTCAACATAGGTAAAAAGGAGTAAATTGTTTATCGACAGTTTAACAATTTTTGTAACATTAATCGTGTCTATTCCCAAATAACGTGTGCATAATGGACGTTCGATCAAAGTTCGTATTATCACAGGGAGCTTGGGGACTCGTAACTTTTCCTATTAAAACTCGAAGCCTGTTGATCGATGACTTTGAAAGAACGATCTTTCGACCCGAACCTGTTTCACGAACACTGAAATTAAATTGATTGAAAATTGCTTCTGTCGCTATTTCCTTTTTTTTTTTTTTTACATTTTTATACAATATTTTCGCTTCTTTCTTAAATTCTTAAAAATGATGATACGAAAAAGGAAGAGGAAATATAAATATAAAAATTATACAAAAATTGAATGGAAGTTTATTTCGTTCGTTACATTGCATCCTGGTGAATTATACTTATAATTAACAACAATTTTTAAGCCATTTTCAGCATTTCAAGCAGTTTATAACGAGATTGAAATTTTAAGTTATACAAATTATTCTCTTGTTCGCTGTTATTAGTCGTGAATACAAAACAAAATGTCATTCTTAATTCTCATATCTTATGAATTTATGTAAACGAATTTTGTATTTTATACACAAATGAATCCAAACTAAGTAAGTAAAATTTTGCTCCAATAAATATAGTCTAGAATCGTGCAACAATGAACAGAATAGGATAACATGTATTCCACTACTATCGATTCAAACTTTCTCCAACTTTATAAAACTTTCCAACTTAAATCACACATGAATTTCCAAAGGAAAGCATTCCAAACGAACGATCTCTTTGGATTATTTCGAATCGAAAAAATGATTCCAAAAAACAATTCGTTCGTTTTCTTTTTTCGCATTTCATCTCTTCGTTACAAATTCATCATATTTTATCGAGTTTCAAAATAAAGAAAAAGAGGTGTTGCATTCGATTCCATATTTAAAAGATACAAAGAGTTGAACCTTTCAACCACCAAGATTACCAAGATTATCAACTTTGTCCAATTACTTTTTAAACCCAACTAAAGATAAAATAGATATCCAAATCGATAAAATTAACTTCATTCGTCCTATAAAATATACGAAATACAATATCGTCATACGATCTAATCCACGACTGAAAATTAACGTGTACTCCATAATTGTCACGACCATTTCCCGCAATTTTATCGCCAATTATTCCCCTCGCTCGAGAGCCAACTTCATCCCCAAAAACACGAGAGCCACAAAAATGGCTGTTTACTCGAAGATTTCAAATATCGCTATTTTTTCTTCTCTCTCTCTCTCTCTCCTTCTTCTTCCTCTTTCCACGATATCAAAGGGGAATGGGAATTTTTATGCCACGTCGAAGTGGCTCAATTTCCACGTGTAATTATGCGTTCTTTGACAACGCGCGTTAAACGCACACACACACAGTACACGCAGCGGATTTCACAGGGTTTCAGGCTCGAAACGAGCCGCTTGAAAAAATCCACACACAGGGTCACGAAGTTGCGTACACTAATTAAAAATCTGGGTTAATTACGCGGCGCGATTCGAAACGAGGCGGATCCGTGCCGAATGTTGGCCGCGACTTCTGCCCCGATGGACGAATTTTATTTTTTCCACAACCATTTTTCTTTTTTTAATATTCGAACGTCTCGTTGTTTACAAGGTAAAGAAAATTTTTAAAATTACAAACGAGGTTTTGTTTCGTGGAACGTAGCAGTGAAGTAACTTTTAAGCTTTAATCTCTTAAGCCTTTATTGTACATTGTTTTCGAATTTATTTTGGTTGGAAATTTTTTGTATCGCTGTAAATAATTCTGCAGATTGTTTATCACTTTGCAGAATCTATGATAATTGTATTAAAATAAGAGGAAAAAAGGTTTAGAAACTTTGGTTAATAATAACTTTGGAAATCTGGGGTTGAACAATCATTAGATGATAGATGATAAAAATGAAAGGAAAAAAATTTACTGTAATTGAAGTTGGATTAGCATTTTTTAATTCTTCTTTTTCAATTTTTTTCAAGTGGATAAAAAATCACGAAGATTTTCGAGCAGGTGGTCGGATATTTCACTTAAATATTCCATTCTTTTTCTCAATGATTAGATGATTTTAGAATCAAAAAAAGAAAATACATTCGTATATATTTTCGTTTGCACGATAAATCAAGCGAGATCTTTATTTTTATTTTTATACGTATGTTTAAATTCTACCACGTTTAACACAAGGTGGCTCTTTTTTAATGAAAAGTTCCTCTTATCGCTAGATAAAATTCGCCATCGCGCCACGTGTGAACCAACGAATTCACGTTTATTCGGCGCAGCCAAGCAGATAGGGCTTAAGCCTCGTCCTCAATCCCACGATATTAAAGGATTTCCATTGGAGGATATGGGATGACCGTTCGTGGTTGAATATTAGGGAAGGAAAAAGGGATAGAGGAAGTGAAAAGGGGATGGAATAGGTGTTATTCACTTCCTTTTTTCGAAAGGAATTGGACTTGATTTCTAATATTTTCCTTTTTTTTCCCTTTTTCTTTTCATTTGTTTGCGGTTTAACCAAATTTTATGAAATACGTATGTATTTTCTGTAAATTCTTTTTTTCTTTTTTCTTTTTTTTTTTTTTACAAATATTTGGCTATCGAATAGTAGAACAGTTAGTGGAGTTATTTGTTGAATTTGTTCGAATAAAATTTAATTTTTAAATATTTTCACCACAGCGTGTGACTTAAAGCAGATTAAAAGTTCTTTGAATAATTATCCAATGATGTTTAGTAACTGGTTTTGAATTTCTTTTAGAATTTTAGAAAGTTTTAACAAAATATCTCGGCTTACTTTTTAACTTTTAAAAGCCTTTTAATAAAAAAAAAAAAACTTGAAGTTGTGGAGTCCAAGAGTGCTGTAATGTTAGGGGGGAAAATAGGGCATTAGTATAATTAATTGAAGTGCTTTACTGAATTAAAGACATTTGCAGTTAAAAAATGAAATTTTCATTTTTTGAAAAAAAAAGTAGAAAAGCAGAAGTGAATTAATATTATTCGATAAAAGAAACACATTAAAAATCGAGCTTATCAACATATGATTATCATTTTATCGATTAACATTATCCACGTATAGAATTCTTTTACGTCGTTTATGCAAATTTCCTACGCGAATGATTGTGCAAACAGCGAGTTGCAAAAAAGATTATGCAACAATATTCGTGATAAATTAACATTATTCATAGAATAACGAATCGTATAACGAATTTATCGAAGAAAATTCCAATAATGGAAAAGTATTATATATTTATATATATTTAGATATCAATAACGAAATGTCGTTATTTAAAAACTGTTAATCGAAACAGACACGATGTCCATTAAGAAATTTTATTCATTAATTTCAATAGTTTAGATTAATTTTTAATCGTGAGTATATACATATACGCGAATATGTATTAATTTCTTATTGATTATATTTTATTTTGTTTTCAGAAATAGAGACTGTTTGCATATACGTCGTTTTCTTATAATTTAACTGAGAATAAGAATGAATTATTGGCGGGATAAGGAATTTAATAAACAATAAAACATTGGGTGAAAAAGAACTTGTCCAATGTTCACAAGATAAGTTTAAAAGCTAAGAATATTACAAATATTTCTTTAAATGAAGAAGTCAAATAACGTGATATTTAATAAATATAAGGATTCTAGGATTTTCTTATGCAATTAATTAGTTACGTACATTTTAATGAGCTAATAAATTCTTTTTATTACATAATAATAATCGATTGAGTGGTGTTGCAACTAATATAGATATATATATATATTTGTAATTAATTTTTTAATTCTTACAGGAATAGATAAAAAATAAATAAATTTTAAATGGTAATTTTTGGTTCAGATTCAGCAATGCTTCTGAATATAAGAAAGATTCAAATATAATTTAAAAGGATTCTTAAAAGGGATCGGTTGGTCAAGATTATTCGAGTTTAATAAAATCGAATAAATAATTATGAATATAATTGTCTCTAGAAACCATGAAATTGAAAAGCAAAGAAGAAAATTATCAACAAATTCGTTCGGATCTGCAAATTAATAATCTTGTTTTTGTGGAGGAAATTCATATTTTTATCAGAGAGATTGTCGATGATGAAACAAATTTTCTGAAAGTGGAAAAGAAAGTTTCAGGAAAGAAGCTTTCAGGCTTCGATGCCATTTCACGAGGTACTTTCTGATCGGAATTTATGACATTAACTTTCTTATCTGGACTAAAGTTCAAATAAAATTGCATCGATGTACATTTCCATGGTAATAGAATTTTGATACAGGCCGCAAATACAATTTTCCACCGATATAAATATTTTTCAACCATGTATAAATAGATATTTCACGTGTTTGCGAAACTGCATCATACGCAGATTTGATAACAGGAAAAAGGAAAGAACCTGTTTTCTATATCATATATATTTTTTCAAGAACTTCATTTCATTTGCACTGTCGTTGTTAAAAACTGTAAATTGAATAAATGAAATGAATAAATTGAAATGTAATATTTCAGAAGAGGAAAATTAAACTATTTAAATATAATAAATTGCCAATAAACAAAAACATTCGCTTCTCAACATTTTCAAACATCTCCAAAAATTACTTTCTGAAACGATGTTTCCAAGCAAAGAAAAGAAGAAGGAAAGAACCATTAAATAAAACAAATCTGCATCAAATCTGTATTCTATATTTCTTCAACAACTGCCATTTCATTTGCACTATCGTTGTTAAAAACTATACATATAATATTTCAAATTATAATAAATTGCATGGAAGTAATAACCAAATTACCATAAACAAAAACATTCCCCTCTCAACGATTATTCTCTAAAACGATGTTTCTAAAATTCCAAGCAAAGAAACTAGAGAGTGGAAAATAAGAAAAGAAAAAAAGGAAGAAGAAGAAGAAGAAAGACAAATGAAATAAACACGGTGAGAATAGAGGCAAGAAGACGGAGCCAGTCCATCCCGATAAACATCGCGTCCCTAGCCTTTGACCCTTTCCACTGGACCTGGTTGGATAGAACAATGCCAGAAGCGTATTTTAAAACGGAGTTCACTGCACCCGACGAAAAAAGAAACCGCCGCCTTTTCACTATGTGTGTACACGTAGAACCGGATACACGGAAGTAACGATGGACTGTTTGCTTTTGCATCCATCAAAGTCTCACGCTTCGGGGTGAATCGTTGTTGCGCGGATCCATCGAATTCCTCCATTGGGACGAGAAATGTTATGCGCTGTTTTCTGATTTATCTCTTTTTTTTTTTTTGCAGAATAATTTATCTTGGTTTTAATTCGAACACTTTTCGAATTAATCTCTCGAGGCGAAAATGTTTTTATTATATATTTTGCGAGGATGGAAATATTTTTATGGAGGCGATAAGAAGAAGTTTATATTTGACGATGGAACAGTATAGAAGAATAATCGTTGTCAAAGAAGATTTAAAACTTGGAAACTACTCTCCAACAAGTTTCACGCATGTAAATTTGAACACACGTGATGAAATATTCCATTTCTCTAAGTAATCCGCCTTTTCAGTTAGTTTAACACTTAACACTTGTGCAATTTGACGATAAATTATTTAACGAATCGAAGAATTCACGCAAGAAAAAATGGAGAATATTATTAATCTTAATGTCAAATAAATGTAACGAAAACTTCTTACTTGATTAAATTGCAACTTTTACTTTTTTTTTCTCGTCATTTTCGAGATCGTCGAGACAAGTTTTCGCCGGGAATTGTCTTCTAAATTCAACAGTTCACGATTGGTTTAATAATTCAGGGGTGAACGAACCGTTTGTCCAGAGTTGGCGCAACTGGATTTCTTCGCAACAGAATTCTATTGCCATGGGACCAGACGATGTTCAATCTAGATATCCTACGCGAGTGACTATTTTCGATGCTCAACAATATTCTTGGACGTGTTCCAATTTAATTAGCTCGTAATTCGCGAAGATGTCGAAGTTTCACGGAAGATCGACCGCCTATTGGCCATCACCCGCCATCTTGTCGGAAATAATCGATACCGTCTTCCTCCTCCGTGGTTGATCAATGATCACAGAGTGGGAGAAACTGTCATCTATAACTTTGATTGAGAAATAGAGTTAGATATCTCTAGAAATTATTCAATCGACGATTCTTATCCGAAGAATTTATTTCTTCGACGTAAGTGATTTTATTTATCAAAATTCAATTCAATTCAATTCAAATGAAGAAGTGGAAATAAGTGACTTTTTTCTCTATCTTTTCAGCGGTTTATGTGTACAGCTTTCATAGAACTTGGTCCGTCTTTATATAAGCTGCTTACAAGCTTGAACAAGATTTATATCCCTTTATTTCTGTTATTATATTCGATTCAAGTGAATTCTATGATTCTCTTTCTAATCACAAATTTATTAGACGAGAAGGAATTTTGATGAGAAAGATTGAAAGATCATATTGTGATGTTATAATGTAATGTTTATTCGTTTTAATTTCGATACTATTGTTTCTTCTGGAAGAGAGAAAATTTATCGGGCGAAAACATTGAAAAGTTTTGCTGTGACTGTGTGGATTCTGTATCCGGGTTCCGGGTTAAAAACTAATTTCTCTTTCCACGATTTGGAACATTGTATGAAAAGAAAAATGAAAATTTTTGGATTAACGAGCCTAGTTTCGAGTAGCAAATCAACGAGGAAAAGTTACAAAATATTAAATTTTAATTATTCATAGAGAAAGGATTAAATTTAAGAAATATCTCAAACGAAAATATATAGAAAGAATGTCAATTCTTTCTTTCGTAAAACATTTACACGTTTAATATATTTAAGATGCTCGATGACCAAAGATTTCCCCTTACCACAATTTAATCTTCCCTCCATTTTTTAAAAACAATTCCTTTGCATGATCATAAACATGGTCCAACTCCATCCTCATCCACTCCACATTCTCTTTTCCTTTTGAAAACCTCACTTTCGATCGCAATCGCCCTAACGATCCCCTTAATGGGTTCCCTGTCTAGTTGGACGCGCCATCTTTCACAGAGCGAGTCGAATTCAATTTACGTATCGTCCACCATAAATTCCCCGTTGCGTTCGACGTATCATGGATCCACAATGAGGCGTGGATCAAACCCATAAATCGAGGTTATGCGCGTCTCTGCATCTTGCAGACGCAGCCTTCGACTGCGACTGACCTGTGACCTTTGCCAGCCGTTTTATTGAATTCTCGGTACGCGTGGGTGGGAGAGGAACACCCGAACGATTTTCACCCGAATTGTTTCCGATTTAATTCCCCGACTTTTCTCCGAAAATGGCGTCGAAAATGGTTGATATCTTGGAGGGATAGGGGATCGATCAGGACGAACGAGGTTAATTGGATTTTTCGGCAAAATGGAGACTATTTTTTGACCAAGCGTGGGGATTAAAATTATTAAGAATAATTATTAGAAATAATCGTTTTGCTTCACTTATAAATTTCCAACGAGTTTAAGTAAAATTAAGAAATTATTCTTTCATCAAAATTTTAATGCGTCGACAACTTTCTAATTAACTCTTTTTCGTCAATTCTCAAATCATTATTCTCCATAATCCTAAAAGTATCTCTCATTTCTCTGCGGATTGCGCGTGAAAAAAAAAAAAAAGGAAAACTCGGTGGAGAGAAAATTCGGCGGGGGATTACCTTTGGCGTGACGTATCGCGTCGATTCGGGGGAAAGGGGGGATTTTGGCCACGGTTCCACGCTGATCCAGCGTTTGAACCGTGGCCAACCGTCCACCGTTGGATTAACCGTGGCGCGGAATCAGCGAATTCCCGCGCGGAACGCTCTTGTTATTATCACAGAGAAATTAGATACGGTGCCCCATTGCCACTCTCGAGCCTCTGCCTTTTATCCATTATCTTGAAAATGGCGTCGATTATTATTATCTCATGCACAGGAATCGAGGATGTGAAATCATTTAAGTTTGATCGAAGGTTAGTTTGAAAGGGAAAGTTGAATATTCTCGTTTCGAGAATAAGAGTGTTATTAATGTCAAGTTGAATGGGGAACTGCGATTCGAGGGGGTTAACACGAGAGCCTTTCCTTAAATAGCGCGGATATATTTGCAGCTGACGCGACGTGGCCAACTAAAGTGAATTTTGTGGGTGAGTCGAAATGACCTGAAATATACGCATATTTGGGTCAATTTTAAATGAGATTTATCAGATAAGTTGTTAAATTATATTTTTAATATTACGTTTTGTCTCTCGTCGAAGAGAAATTCCAGTTACAGTTACGTTTTTTTCTTTATAATTCGTATTCTTTATCTTTATGATAATTGTATTGTCTTGCAGATCTGATCTACTCGACTAACATTTAAGAACAAAGGATATCACTGTTACATCACAGCTTAATTATCTCTTTGCATATATATATATATATATATACAGTTATTCAACTATACTCGATATAATCCAAATCCAAATCCAAATTAAAAATTAATTCGTTCTAACACTAATCGAGTGTCCAAGAAAAGCAAGCAACACAAGGAGCAACGATCCATTGTATCGATACAAGCAAAGTACATATTAATCCAATAGGAGAGAGCAGTGTTCTGGCCCTTAGCCAGAAGCCTCTTCACGATGAAGGAGGGATCCGGGTGCTTGACACAAAGCTTGACGAAGAGAGAAAGGGAACATCTCGCGTCCCGAAACGTTGCTTTTTACCTCCTCTCTCAGGAATCAGAGGAGGAAAAGTAGGGAAGGAGATATAGACGAGGTGAGAATCGAATCTTCGAGACGATCTTCTTACAAAAGCTCTCCCCCTTTGTGAAAACTTGTGAAACGTATCCATTGCAAACGAGCCATTGTCGGCCTTCCAAGAGACTTTTCTAAGTTTCATTGTGTTTGTTTGAATTGTGTTTATTCGCATTCCTCACATTGAATACCATGGTGCAGGAATGATAACAGTGGAGTGTGTGGTTATCTTCTTTTTATTGTGAAAGTTGTCGCGTTATTTTTGGAGGAAATTTTTTATCGAGTTTGGAGATGGGTGTATATAAAGTATTGTTGAACTTTATAAAAAAAAAAAAAAAGAAAGAAAGGGGAGGAGAAAATAATTAGAGAAAGCGTACGAGTTGGATAAATTTTTTGTTGAAAAAAATCGTAGGATATTTTTTTAGTTCGATTTTTAATTGAATTCGTAGAAAGTTATTCAGATTTTATCGAAAGAAGATCGAAAATTATTTTCTCTTTCAATTTTAAACGATTCGAAACTGATTTTGAAATACTTTTTTTTTTTTCTTTCCTTTTGATCGAAATTTGACATAGCAGAAAGGAATATCGATTTAATTCAAAATTATTCTCGCCACGTGTCAAATCTATCGTAAATATTGTATCTCGTGTCAATGTTATTCCGCACGATATATCTAGAATTACAAGCAGAATATTCTCCAATATCGGGCACAGAGATACACCCATGTTCGTAAATATTAGAACATCTGTCAATCTTAAATACATTTTGTGAGCCACAAAATATGATTGTTCGAACCGCAATATCAATCAGTCGAATTTTCTTTTAAAAGTGAAAAATTAACGATTAACATGCACAACATTTTTTATTCACAATTCTTTAATTCAAATCTCTACCCGATTTTTTAATATCTTAATAATAACAGGGACACGATCGTTTGGAAATAAAATTAAAAAACGAATTCTCTTATGAAAAATACTCTGCACACAATTTTCAATCTTCCACATTTTTGCATTCTCAAAATAATGTATCAACTTCTTCTCTCTTAGAAGAAAGCTTAATCAATCCAAATCTTTGGTGCATTCGTACGCTTTGCAGTTAAATAATTTACATTCTCGAGAAAGTATTCCTCGCAAAGGAAAATCGGGAACAGGAGAAGATTTTCCTAGATATCGCGCAATTATTATACCACGAATGCGAATTATATTATTCCTTGAGAATTCCATCCGCGTATCCAACGTGCACACGCTGCGAAATTTAATGAAAATTCGTCTCACGGAGTCGGCTGCTCCTTCGAAGGGTGGAATTTTTCTATTCCATCAGGGAGGGGACGGGCAAGCTTTTAAAACCGTGTTTCATTTCCTTCTTATAAACTTGAAACTACTTTTGCGTGGGATTTTATTGCAAAAGGGAAAAAAAGAAATAAAATAATATTAACGAGACTACAAACCTCGATGCCTCTGAAAGGCTATCATTATAAACCTTTCCTTGTGATTCCTTTCATTCCTCTGGAAAGGAAAAGGAGGGTGTGATCGATCAGAAGAGGAATGTTAATTCGTGGAGAGTGTTTCGAGATAGAGAGGAACTAATCGATGGCAATTAATTCGGTGTGGTGTAGTGGTATTTCGATTGTTGGAAGTCTCGTTTGAAGTCTTCGCTGTTTTGCAGGGTAAAGAAAACTTGGCTCCACTCTTCTCGGGAAATGGAATCGTAGTTTTATTCGCGTTACGTGAAATATTTCTTTGCCGCTGATGCACACAGAGTTGGAAAATCGAAACAAGAAATGTCGACACTCGAGTTTTAATCGAGACAATTAAGGGATTATTTTATTCTCTTGCTTCCATTCCTACGAGAAAGACAATGTTCTTTGAGATTGACCAACAACTCCACACGATTTCACGCATAAATTAGCGTATAAAACTTTTGTATTTTATTATTTTATGTGTCTTTACGTATGAAGGAAGAAAGTTTGTTGAATATTAAAATGTCGTTCGATGTCTTTCACCTTTCTTATTTCATCGAATCAACGTGCTCTCATATTCACTCTCCATTATTCTTATCATCCTTCTTATATTACATCTCCATTTTTAACACTATTTCCCGTCTCTCCATCGTCAAATAATTTCGTTACTTAATAACGAAAAATCAAACTCATCTTCGAACCAATTTCATTACCATGCTTAAAACAAAACTTAAAAACTTTGAAAATAATATTTTCACGACTCCACTAGACTAATTGAAAATGTATAATTTCGATCCGTGAATATAATTTACAGATAAAAAAAATCTAACCATTCGATATATTATTCTACACTTTATAAGATTATAAAGAGCTTAGGATATTTTAAAATAATCGAATGGTGGCCGAGACGAAGGGTTAATAAGAATTCAATCTATCGAAATTATCGCAACTATTGCGCTAGCTACCTGTTACGCTCTTCTATTTCCGTTCGATTCCACTGGAATAATTAAAAATGGCCGCTCCCAGAGGGTTGCGAACCCCTTCGAGAGCTCGACAATGGAGGCATCTGCGCCATTGAAAACAACGCTCGTTTGCGTCCACGCTGCATTCCACCCCCTTGTATTATTGCTGCGTGTAAGCGGTCGCGTTAATTGCGTTTAAACCAAGGGGGGAGGAGGCTGTGTGTGTGTGTGTGTGTGTGTGTGTGTGTGTGGCTCGGTCGTTTTCGACGAATACAAGGACTGGAATTATTGGATGCGGGTGTTAACAGCGTTTGAATTTTGTTCGTTGAAGAAAGGAAAGTTGGATTTGAGCGTAGTTGTTTTAGTTGGAAAAGTGCAAAGTGTGGATAATTGATTCGAGGAAGAAGGGAAAATAAATTATAATTGATATATTTGAATATTTATAACAAAATTTTGCAGGTAAATGTAAATATTATTTACATTACTGTATTGTATCTAGATCTGTTAGAAAGGTGGAAGATTGTGGCTTAATAAGAAGATTATTATATTAGTGTGAAAAGGAAGCGAAAACAATTGCGTTTCGTTAACGAAGTGATTACGATTCTATTAATTTTTTGAATGGACCAAGTATCAACAGTGCCAATTCAATCGTAAGAAATTATTATCGGTACAATGAAGAAAGTGACGATCGATATATAACGAGTAACGTAAATAAGAAAAAGATTGAATGAAACGTGGCAAACAAGAATTTTAATTAATTTACATATCGCATCAAAAGGAATCGAGAGAAAGGGGATGGTTAAGAAAGAAAGAAAATGGTTGGAAAAAGCATCTTCTCACGTTTCCTTCCTTAAACACAAAGAAAAACTCGTGTTCATCCTCGCTCTTATCGAACAAATTATTGGTTGTTTTGCGAAGAACGAAAGAAGGAATAGATCAGCCAGTAATCTCTGATGATTTAATTACAGCTCCATAATTGACCGTTCAACTGGCTAACTCCTCCAGCTTCACGCTTCTCCCCGGAACAAATTTAACGATGCGAACTTTTTCTCTCACTTTTCTCTTTCTTTCCAAGTAGCTTGGAACGTGTGAAAATAAAAAACACAAACAGTGATATAAAATATTTTGCCTCGTGTCATATCTCTTTACAAAAGTACGCAGTAAATTAGATCTCTCACGTTATATTTTAAATAACTATTTTATATTTTATATTATGGAGAAAGAATAAACGAAGACTCTTTCCATTCCGACGTAGGTTTCTAACAATTGCAAAGAAATATAAAAATTGTATACAAAACATATAATGGAAAATTAACACACGAAGAAGACGATCGTTGTGCAGGTAACAGGAGAAACGTAATGAATATTTTTGCAAGATATCGTTATATGTACTGGCTTTGTGACCATGCAGGCACGCGATACAATACGTGCAAGACGAACGAGTGACGTAAACGTAGTGCACAACGGTTCTGTTTTCTCGTTCACCGAGCGTAATTGCACTGTTTGCGAATCAAGAATACGAGTGCGTGTGCATACGTGTTCGCGTTAATTGCCCATACCTTGATCCATTATGTGAAATGAATGTACTTTGAACTGCACACGTGTATGTATATATATATAGATGAATAATGAATATCAAAGGATACCAAATGTTAAATAATATATAGAAATCTTTGTACGTGCGAGAATCGAAAAAGTAAGGAAAAAGTTTATAGAGATTGAAGACTATTGAATAAATAACAAAAATCAAATTCGTTTAAATTTTTGTCGAAAGTGGTTTCCCTCGAATTTTTCAAACGATTTCTATCCCTAGAAATTTCCAAAAGATTTATGAGACACCAAAATGACGGCTGTTTGGTAAAATTCACAAGTTTCGAGATTTTTTCGAGTCGACATTGGGATAAAACGAGCACGGGTTTTTAATGTTTCAAATTCTTATGAATAAAGGATGAACAGGTGGAAAAGTTGTATCGTGGCGGTCGATGGAAAGAAACATTTTTCAGGGACATCACTATCGTTCCATTTATCGTAGCGCGGTATACCTACTCGGTATAAAACGAAATGATTGCGATTTAGTTAGAAATCTTGCTATTTTCAGCGTACAACTCTTCTAGGAATTTCGAATAATTAAATAAAATATTATTATTATTATTATTATTTTATATATATATATATATATAACACGAAAAGTATGATTGTAATTAACGATAATTATTTCGCGTGTTTCAGTCGATAAGTGAAAGCGGTTTTTTCCAAGACGATAAAATATACGATGCATGGATTCTATATATTAACAGTTTGCAATGAGGATCAACGCTATGAGACGAAATCCTCGATTTATAAGCACGATCCACGCAGCCTGTGCAACAGACAACCATCTTAATTAAGTTTATCTTCGTTAAAGGCCCGATTCGATGTTTCCTGTGCACATCCGCCCGATTGCAGCGCCCCTATTGCATTCCTCGATTCGCGTCCTCCATTATCGACTCGTTTCGATCGTGGATATAACTCAGATCGATCAATTTCGATATTCTTCCTTTTTCGAGTGCAATTTGAACGAACGAAAATTTGTTTGGACGTGATCACTAACAGAAAATAATACCATTTCCTTGGAATAATGGAGGATACTTGTTTCGGATTTTGCAAGAAAAAGTAAGTATTTTTTTTTACACTTTCTACCATTTATTATACATATTATTATACATATGTGTGTTACATATTTATTTTATTTGCAGAGTGTTCTATTCTGGTAATGCTGCTGTTACGAGAATTGACGATCAGCATGGAATGACCATGATGACCAACGTGAAGTTACCTTGGATACAGGAAGTGACGTCGATCGTCTACGATATCGAAGATCGATTTAAGAGGAGATGTTTTTGGAACCAGACAACGCGATGCCTCACCTCCACTCTGTGTATAATTATAAATATTGTATTGTACAATAAATATTGTAAATAATTGTAAATAAAATGAAATAAAGTTGTGAAAATATAATCTTTGCATTTGTGTTATTTTATTTTTGTAATTTATATCACTAATTTTTCCTATTTTTGAAATATTTCAGGTGAAAGTTAAACGGTTTCAAAGGAAGTGTATATTAGTATTATTTACGTTTTGGAAAATGTTTTAATAATTATATGAAAGATCATAGCAAGGTCAAATTATTTTTTATAAAATTATATACTTTTTGATGCATCGATAGATTTTATTCTCTATAAAAAATTATTAAACCATTTATAGTCAAAAACTATTGATTTAAGAGATATTCAATTATATTTAATTATCTCCTAAACTAATAATTTTTGGATTATGTGATACATAAAAATAATACATTTTTATAGAGAATGTCAAAATGCATCGATTCATGCATTAAAAAGTATATCATTCTATTTAAAAAATTAATGTTAAGCATTGTACATATTTTATGAGTTTAGTTACAAAAAAACTAAGATAATAAAAATATAACTCCTTTGAAACCGTATAACTTTTATTCGAAACATTTTTTAATAATATAGAAAACAAAGGAGATATCCAGGATACAAAGTTCCAGCCATCCAGAATTTTACAAGAGCTCCTGAATCTCATAAGATTAAAAAAGAAGTCGCAAAACATCGAAAAAACAATACTGTAAAACGATAGAAAATAAGTGTGCAAAAAGTAAAAATCTAAATTTATATAAATTGTGAAAAAAAAATTTTAAGGTTCTAAAAAAACAGCAAAGCTAAAAAAAAAATGGTAAAAAATTGAGCAGGAGGACGGTAAATATGCAATAAATGTGTAAAAACTCTTTTTAAGTTACGTTCTCCTAATAAAAAGTCTGAATTTATGGCCAAAAGTTTCGTTTGTTCCAAATTCATTTGAAAAGTTCTAAGAAAATGACGTCATTTCCAAGAATTTTAGAAATTCCGAGAATTTGACGTCATTTCTAAGAACTGTTAAAATTCCAAGAAATATTTCTCGAACGACCTCCTATCATGTTATGTTCTCCTAATACAAAGTCGAGTTTTCGGCGAAAAATTTTAAGTTTTGAAATTTCTAGGAAAGTGACGTCATTTCCAAGAATTTTAGAAATTCCGAGAATTTGACGTCATTTCCAAGAATTTCTGAGATTCCAAGAATTTGACGTCATTTCTTGGAAAAATTTTTCGATCGACCTCCTATCATGTCATGTTCTCCTAATACAAAATCGCATTTTTGGACAAAAATTTTTCTTCAATCCCGGGAATTTCGTCATTCATCCTTTTTGTTAAATATCTCGTTTATTATTAACAATATCGAAAAAAGTTTGGAACAAAAGTTGCATGGCTTCGAAAGAGCTATATTCTGGTGCTCTCATTTTTTTCGTAGGTGACCCCATAAAAAACTTCTCAAGCA